AAATGTATATTCAATAGATTAATACATATAAACTATGCATGTGCATGCAGAAGTTTGTGGAGTGCCGGAGAAAATTTGTAGAGTTTGTGGATTGCAATCACAGGAGGATTTAACAAGTCCATTGGGGACAAGTGTCAGCGAGATTGTATGCAAATGCTTAGAAGGAACGTATGATCTCTCTACACCGCTGTCATACAAAGAAAAATTTGGAGTTCAAACTTGTGCCAGTCAAGGTTAGATAAAATTTTCATTATATATTGTATCTTTATTTCATTATATATTCTATCTTTTGAAGTAGCAAGCAAAGAAGCTGGAGTGCAGTATCAAGAGAAAACTGGACTACAATCTCAAGACATAGGCAGAAGTGAGATTGGTTCCAAATCTATAGATGCAATATGTGATGATGATGATGATGTAGCTGGAATGATCTTGGATATTGCAAATGGTTAGACAATGCTTTTTTAATTTTATATATGTTTGTTTTAATTAAAGATTATTAATATGTTAGCTGTTGTAAATATTTTTGCAGAATCTTGTCAACAAGCATCTAAAGATCATGGTGAACAACTGCAAGATAAAGAAAATGTGGAATTGCAAGAAAAAGAAAATGTTGCACGCAATATTTTAGCTGAGTTGTCTCTTGAAAAAACACAAGAAGGTACTGTGGAGAAGACATGTACTGATTGTGCCCTAATTATTATATGTACAATTGAAATTTTGTCTCTTCATTTGACCTGTTGTAGAAAACTAATATGAATATGTATATATATATATATATAGTGTCGCCAGCAGAGGAAAACAAAGAGGACACCAATGATGACAATCTTAACCAATATACAAGGAAAAGAAAGAGAGACAGTATTGGTTATGATGGTCCGTCATTTTCTCTTCTTACTCCTACTCCTCCAAGTATACAAATGGACATTGATGCGACTTTGACTATGGAGGGTGAAGGAAATGTTGAAGAAGAACTTGGTCGAGGTAAAAGGAACAAGAAGTTAAGCTGGCAGTTGAAATCTCCTTTTGATAAGGAAGGAAAAGCAGTAAGTTCCAAGGCAGACAATCAAAATACTCTGAAGAGTTCAGGTTGGATAAAACCAACCTATACTCGTAGGTGTATTTTTCATTATGCCAAAGAAGATGAAAAATTAGTGAAGAAAATCATTGTGTGGTTGGGCAAGGAGAAAAGGAGAGGTCGCAAAAAAGAGTAAGTCTCTTAATGTG